TATTTAAGGAATTTTTAAGTCCTTGTATTACAATTGATGAAGGTCTCGGACCGAAACGTTTTTTATTAAACTTTTTAGACCTTTTATTGAGTATATGTCTTCCTTCGCTCGAAGTTGTCCGTCCTCGTGTGCCACACTACTTCTCCTACCATTTATCGAGGTTTGGACTGTGAATCCTTTTGGATCCTTCTGGCGCGGCGTCACTGTTGGCTCGAGGCCTTTTAACTTGTTATGTGTATATATAGAAGTGTAGAACGTAGATATTCGTAAAACAGTGCTCAATACATTAATGTAGAGCGAGGTATATGTTTGTGGAGGAAAGAAACAAATAAACTACGCTTTCATCCTCACAAGCCTGTTTCGTGGTTGCCCACTAATCAGGGAATTCAAATACCCTGATTAGTGGGTAACCACGAAACAGGCTGGTCGGAATGAAAGCGTAGTTTATATGTATGATATATATGCATGATATATAAGTATGTATTGTATAAAATCTTTGAAACTGTTTCAGCATCTCCTTTATCAGATTATTTGCCTTGTAAGATCCAGTCCAAAAATATTATTTGGTAGATAATTTCATTGCTATTTTATAATCAAAATGAAAGTGAAAAATGAAACTACGAGTTTCAATCGTCTAATGCAATTTATCCCCATTGTTTACTAGTAAACTGCACAGCTGGAACCTTTTTGAATAAGACATCTGAAACATGCCAAGACTGCCCTATTGGCACATATCAAGAATTTGATGGGCAAGAACAGTGTTTGGCATGTCCACCGAAAACTTCCACGACAGAATCCAGAACAGGAAACCGAACCAGCTGTTTAGGTATTTGTTAACTACACACGTTGACGAAATGATAATGTGAAACTTGTATTGAATAAGTAAGTGATGGGTTGGATGAATAGATGAAACAAATAATCACAGAAATAAATTACGGAATTAAATAAATAAACGAAGAGTGAAGAAGCAGATAAAAACGTGAAGCTGAAAAACACATATTAATCTTGTCTGTGGAGTGTTTCGAAAGTAACTAAGCGCTTGAATGCCTCTTAAAGCGCTATTTAACATATCACACCCTATAAAAGGTTTATTTATAAAATCTTGGTTTAATGATTACGTTCAAATTATCTCAAATGTCTAGTCCCTTTCCAGTTTGGTAATAATAAAAGCCTACCTTATCACATACCTCGCCATAAGGTACCATATCGTCCTGAGGGTTCCATGTTACTTTTACATGGTTGTTTGCTTGTTTTTTTCCTTGGTATTAAATACGATTTTTACCATACGTAGCCAGGTTGCGATTTTAATTTTTAAAGTCAGTGTTTACTTCTCTCTTTTTTTCTATTGTTGTTTTTTTCTTTGGACGAAAGCATTCTGCAAAGCTGGTTCGTATTCCCCAACTGGATTAGAGCCTTGTTTGTTCTGTAAAAAGGGGCTTTATCAAGAAATGGAGGGACAGCACCTCTGCTTGAAGTGCGGTTCTGACAAAACAACTCCTGCGGAGGGATCCAACAACTCAACGCAGTGTGAAGGTATTGGAAAATTTAGCTGATTATGACCATGAAAAAGCATGTTATTTGAAGTGTAAGAGATTTCCGTGAAACTTTCGTCGAGCGTCCATGCATGTTGTATGTGTTATCAGAGGGTAGTTGTGTTCTTTGCATTCTTCGAATAGTAGGTTGGCGGTACTATGTATAAACTTACTGCCATTGATCAATTTTTATCACAAAAGTCATGGCTTTATCCAGCGGCGTTGCGTGAGAGTCGGTTATCTAAATAGCTTTATAACTAGTTCGCTCACCACCAGTTTTCCTGGCCAGAAGAGCGATTGATTGCTAGAAATTTTTGTCTGTTTAATTCAGACTGCCTGTCCATCCATCTTTTCTGTTGGCCTGCCTATGTGAGAATCTAACTGTGGGCTAGTCTCTTGTTGTAGCTATTCAGCTGGGAATAACATAAGTTCCCCTTCAGATGGGATCTTGCATTCTCCTCGGTGTTCTACATAAGCATCAGTTGTTCTTTCGTGGTTTGATTCGTCTTTGACAAAGTGCTTTAGAGTTTCAGTTCATTAACATAATCATCAGACGTCATCGTTAACGTTATCATCTCTATCGTTAACGCTATCGTTCTTATTAGTACTGCATTACAATAATCGTTATCATCACTACTGTTATAATTATCATCATTATCATCATTTATTTTCTATTCATTTCTTCAGTTCCTTGTCCTCCTGGATCATTTTCTTCCACGGGATTGGCTCCTTGCACTTTATGCGATCGACGATCGTTCCAGCCACAAAGTGAGAGTCGTACATGTGTTTCATGCCCTGGAACAACTGTTACCAAAAGGCCTGCTTCACAAAATTCCCAGGATTGTATAGGTTTGTATTGTGTGTTGTAGCACTAAACCAGAAAACTCACAGGTAGTCATAGAGGGTCAGGAAAATAAATTTCCTTCCTGTGATTCTACTCTGAAAGATCTTTATGCTGACATCATGATCAACGATTCAAAATTCGTAGTGTGCATGCAGCCAGAATGGTTGATTGTCATTTTGAAAGAATCTTTTTTGTGCTTTTTAAATTGAACCAGAATTAAGTATATACTACGAGTTATATTTCTAAGTATGTTTCTAAGCGTGAAACCTCAGCCGAGTATCTAAAGGAATAGCTGTCCTTGCTTTGATTGTCAGCTTGTCCTATGAGAATTTTTGTTTTTGGGTAGATCTACATATATATAATTTTTACTTCGCCCTCATGAGGCCTACACTCAAATTTCAACTACCCGAATCCTCATTAACTTTCTTTAAAGTTAATCTCTTTTCGTTTAATTTTTAATATGATATTTCAGAAATCGACGAGTGTGATTCTAGCCCCTGCAAGAATAATTCTACTTGTACAGACCTCATTGGTGACTTCTTCTGCTCGTGTCAACCGGGTTATACTGGGAAACAATGTGAGATCAATATTAATGAATGTCAAGACCAACCTTGTGCTAATAATGGCACATGTCATGACCTCGTTAACAACTTTACCTGCTCGTGCACCCAAGGTTTTCAAGGATTTAACTGCGAGGAAGATGTCGATGAGTGCATGTCATCACCGTGTCTCCAAAATTCGACCTGTGAAAATGTCTTTGGGGGATTCCTATGCCTATGCGAGCCTGGATTCAGTGGTAGATTTTGTGACATTGGCATCAATGAATGTCTGATATTTCCGTGTCAGAATGGAGCAACGTGTAAGGATAAAATAAACAATTACGAGTGTTTTTGTGCTTCCGGTTACCAAGGGAAAGACTGTGTAGAAAGTGTCGATGACTGTGCGAGCGAACCATGTCAGAACGGAGGCATATGCCACGATGGAATTGCTGGCTATCATTGCGTTTGCCCTTTAGGCTTTAATGGGACAGATTGTGAGTACAACATTGATGAATGTGCTTTTGTAGACTGTCAGAACAATGCGACTTGTATCGATGAGGTCAATGGGTTCTATTGCCTTTGCAAAAAAGGATTTTCTGGGAAGACCTGTGGAGTCGACATTGATGAATGTTTCTCTAATCCCTGCAAGAACCAAGCAAAATGTGTGGACATGGTTAATGGCTACCGTTGTGACTGTCCGGATGATTTCGATGGCTTGCTTTGCGAGAATAATATCGACGATTGCGCTTCAAGTCCTTGCTCCAACAATGGGTCTTGCCACGATGGCATAAATAATTTTACTTGTGTATGTCCGCCTGGTTTCACTGGAAAAATTTGCAACATAGATATCGACTACTGTGCCTCGATTCCCTGTAACAACAACGGCTCGTGTTTCGATGGTATTACTTCCTTTACTTGTGAATGTGCGGATGGTTTTGATGGAGAATTGTGTCAAACTGATGTGGACAATTGCAAAAATGTTACCTGCTGGAACAATAGCACGTGTATCGATGGCATAGCTGAATTCATGTGTTCTTGCGCCGAGGGATATGCTGGTACTCGCTGTGAAGTGAACATCGATGACTGTGAGCAGAATCCTTGCTTGAACGATGGAATGTGCACCGATCTCACAAATGACTACCAGTGCACCTGTAAGAGGGGGTTTACGGGAAAGAACTGTACCATTGATATTGACGAATGCACCATCTCTACTTGTCTCAATAATGCTACTTGTACTGACAAAGTAAACAACTACTCGTGTAATTGCGCTGGTGGATTTACTGGACGGCACTGTGAAATTGATTTAGATGACTGCTTTGATAATCCGTGTAGAAATGGATCCACATGCAAGGATGGAATCAACGATTATAGTTGCCAATGCGTGCCTGGATTCACTGGTGTGTCCTGTGATGTGGAAGTTGATGAGTGTACGTCTTACCCATGTCACTATGGTGGAAAATGTCACGACAAGGTAAGTTTCGTAAAAGTCGACAACTTCTAGAGAGGTACTGATAATGACGATTAAGTTACAGAAAGAGTGAGAACGTAAAGCTCTCTGCATTTTTTGAAAGTTCTAATGTTGTGTTTTCCTTCTAGGTGAATGGTTTCACTTGCAACTGCCCCATTGGTTTCACCGGTCTTCAGTGCGAAGTTAATATCAACGAATGTGAATCAAATCCCTGTGCAAATAATGGTATATGCTTAGATCTTGTAGCAAACTACTCTTGCTTGTGTCTAGATGGGTTTAGTGGCTCACATTGCGAGAAGCGTATAGACTACTGTACAGGATCTAATTGCACCGAAAATGGGTACTGTGTCAGCTCTCTCTCAGAATATTACTGCAACTGTAGCGCGGGGTACTATGGAAAATACTGCGAGTTAGAATTTGACGAATGTCTGACGAGACCGTGTTTTAACAATGCAACCTGCCATGATGCCGTGAACAATTTCACTTGCTCTTGCTCCAGTGGTTACACGGGAAGATATTGTGATATAAATATTGACGACTGTGTGAATCATACCTGTCTGAACAATGCTACCTGCGTTGACCAAACTCTGGGCTATTCCTGTAGCTGCTCAGATGGTTACAATGGAACGTACTGCCAGACAGAGATCGATGACTGTGAATCTAACCCGTGTTACAACAATGGCACTTGCATCGATCTCACGCCAGGGTACAACTGTAGGTGCACCGATCGTTTTTATGGAGAGAACTGCGAAAAGGTCATTGATGTCTGTCAATCAGCCCCCTGTCAAAACAGAGGCACCTGCAAGGCTAACAATTTGTCAGGAAACTACACTTGTTCTTGTTTAAGTGGTTTCACAGGAACTTCGTGCGAAGTAGACATCGATGACTGTATTCCAGATCCCTGCTCAGCCAACGCTTACTGTGTTGATCTTTTGAATGATTTTAGATGCGAATGTTATCCTTCCTACTCAGGAGATCAGTGTGAGATCTGTAAGGAGAAGCTTTTTTTTATCTTTCATAAGATTAAGTTCAGCCACTGCTTAGCGTACATGCTACTAAAGTATGTGAAGTAGCATAGTCTTGTCTTATTTTATTAAACGAGTGCAGAGTAGAAGTGAGAAAAAAGATAAAATGACTGTAACGATGATAGCTGAAATGCATGAAGGAACGACTTAAATAATAGTAATTCACAATCATTATGATAACAAGCGAGGCAAATGAAAACCGAACGAGGAAAGCACAGAAAAAATATAAATGTGAAAGTGACATACCTGACAGTTAGGATACTAGTGCAAAAGGACAGACAAAACTCTGAGAAAAATCTGACCAATAATCGATTGGCGCCAAAACTTATTTAAAAATGCTGATGCTGCGCGGAGCTATGACACAATGAAAACGCTAAAATATGTTACAATGATGACATTTATTTTCTTCGCCTTTTTTTTTGCGAGGGAAGAAGCCCATTAGATTTCATTAGCGAAAATATCGATGAAGATGATTCAGACAAGGTTGTATTCAGCCCCACTATGTGTCAATTCACTCAGTTAGAAATGTCGCCGACAAAGTAAAACTTGAATTTGAGAGGTTGTGAAATATGGCTGATGTTTTCCACTTTTTTGCAGTTCTTGGCAGCAACTTCGACTTGATATTTAAACGCCAGACCTCTAAGGATATGGTTTTCCTGCCGGACGGAGAAGACATTCCAAGTATGACAAGTTTCACAATCGCACAGTACGTCAGAGCCGACTCGAAGTACACGATAGGCACACTGTTCAGCTATAGTGTTCCTGAGAACCCCGAAGACATCATTATACTTTCTTTTACATACTTTGAAATAGTGTTGAATGTTAAGAAGAAAAAAGTTAAGGCAAACTTTAGATTAGCAGACGACCACTGGCATTTTGTTGGAGTGATATGGGACGGAATTCTAGGAAGTGCCTCCCTTTATATTGATGGTATAAAAATAAAAAAGGCAGACAGCATCAAAGGCGAGAGTATCAGAGGAGGTGGATGGATTGTTCTTGGTCAACGGTATCTAGCAGAAGAAAAGAGTGCAACTCTCTCGTCAGCTTTTGTAGGAAGACTACATCAAGTCAGCATTTGGAATGTAGCAGGAACAGATGACCATATGTGGAACGCCGCCCACGACTGCAGCTGGCCCATTTCAGGAAGTTTGAGGGCTTGGAGTAGCTTTCTTCCAGGCATCAAAGGACAAGTAGAAAAGAGATTTATGACGCAGTGTAAAGGTATTTTGGTATCTTTCATAATTAGGTCGGAAATCAAACTCTTTTTCATGCATGCAAATGTTAAACACTATCAAGAAATTTTCATTCAGAGAGATGAATGCTCAGTGCATTGAACCTATTAAAAATATCACACTAAAAATATAAATCCCAAAGAGAAATGCTTTTCTGTAATCAGAATAATACGCTGGAACAATATCGCTCCGCGATACACGATTTCTATGTCTCCCTCCTAAGTTGTAAAGGCTGGTTTAAAAAGGGAGGTTCTGGTCTGATCTCTGATGATTGTCCATGAGCTCAGCGATGCATAGAAACAGTTCTTTTCAACTTGATGTCTCGTCTTCTTTCAGTAATTCAATCGCACTCTATATGCACTTACACCAGATAATTTAAAGGTAATTAGTGTTGGGTGACTAACTAGATTGTATGCCAACTGCGAAACGGTGTTATATTCCTTCGCCTACAGCTTTGGAAAAGTGCACAACAAACTGCTCACACTTCTTACATTGCGAGTCTCGCGAAGGATTTTACTACTGCAGCTGTACAGCTGGATTTACCGGAGTTCATTGCAGTATCAACATCGACGACTGCAGCCCAAATTCCTGTATAAATGGAAAGTGCATCGATGGAGTAAACCGTTTCGAGTGCGTCTGTAGCAAGGGCTATTATGGAAATAACTGCGAGAAGAAGATCGAAACTGAAGAGGGTAAGACTTCAAGAGAGTTAAGGAGGCACGATTCCCAGATGAGTTAGAATGCATGGACAATATATTGAATGCAATTTCGTGAAACTTTCATTTTGATACGTCCACCTGTGCTCTTAGTATTAGATTCCACCCCATAGGCGATTTCGCGCAGTAGTCATTTGTGAGGCTCCGGCAGTAATTGACATCTGTTAAGAGAGGTGTAGTCTAATTTGGTTGACCAGCGTTGCCAATTTTTTAATTGAATTGAATTGAATTTTTTTCTTTGTAGTTTAAATTATGATTAAATTCCCGGCATTTAATAGTGTAGATGTCACGTCAACGATAAGTGTTTGGATTGTTGACGGCACCATTTATCGTCGTTCGTCCATAAACCCGACAATTTGTTTTGAAGTTCTCGCTTAATAACATACAATCGAAAAAAAGGAACGAAAACTTTGGTGGCTAGATGTTGTTAGTTGTAGAGGGCTTTTTACATCACCCTTTTTAAACTTGCCTCTGATCTTCTCTAATCAACAGCGTGTAAGTAAAAATTCTTGTTACCTATACACATTCGATCTTTACTTGGCAGAATGTCCAGAATTGAAGCAGCCAACGAATGGTAAACACTCTTGTCGCAAGGTTTCTGGAAAAATGCTCTGCATACTCTCGTGCCATGAAGGGTTCTCTTTCAGTGCAGAGGCAATTACACAATATACTTGCGGACCTGAAACTGAGTGGAAGTGGAAAGGCATAGAGGGAGTACAAGTGCCAACCTGCTTACGTACGTAAAGGAAACTGTTTTTCTTATTTCGTTGTTGTTGTGGTTTGGTTTTTTCCTTTTTTCATATTTTTTTTGTCTATAAAAATGTCCATTCAGACACGAGACTGAAATATGTCGTTAGACTCTAATTCCTTTCATATCCAACTATTTTTCCTCAATTCTCAAATTCAACGGGTAAACAAGTTAATTTTCGCATTTCTTCTAAATAAGCATCATAAAAAAGTTTTGATTAACCCAGTCTAAGAAAATATAATTACATCTCTTTTTTAACCTCATAGCCCTATCTTATCCAATTGTTTTCACAGGAAAAGCATCTCCAATGGAGATAGAGCACCAATTTTCGTTATCATTTCCTGGAATACAATGCAATAGCAGTCAGAATAAAAGAGAACTGCGTACTGCAGTCGAGAGTGAAATTAAAGAAACTCTTTCAGCAGTCCCAGGGTGCCATTCGTGTCAAGTACAGGAGGTCAAAGTTCCCATATGTGAGATTTCTGCGAATCCCAGAAGGAGAAGAGCACCAGAACAGCCGATGGAGGTTCTCGTCTCATTAACTGTCTTTAGAGGCGCCGATACATACGAAACTAAAGTAGAAGAAAGAAGTGAAGCAGTCCTGTTTCAAATGCGGTATGCAGTGGCCACGGGGCAGTTTATTATCAGCTTACAGGGACTCAACATGAGTGCCGATAGGTCATCTTTTCAAGTAATTCGTTCTAATGTTACTTGTGGTGCAGGTTTCGTTATGGGAAGTGGTGGAAAAGAATGTGGTGAGTGGTTTGAAATTCAACTATTTTCATGGAATCCTTTTAAAATAATCTTGCTTTATATCACTGTTCAAGTAACGATTCTAAAAAGGCCATCTTCTATGCAATTCCTACAGTGGCCTGTCCTGTGGGTTCCTTCCAAGATCAAGGTAGATGTAAAGCATGTGATAAAAATAGCTACCAGGACAAGGAAGGACAGTCTGAATGTACAGTATGCGGAGAGGGAGAATCAACGTCAACCATTGGGGCTACTTCGAGCAAAGATTGTTCTAATGGTAATGTAACGTATTACAAAATGTGCACAATCGACGATCTTGGTGATTAAGTAGAAGCAATCTGTTTAGTTGCTTTTTTTTTTGTTATGTTACATAATTTCCTTCTTGATGATGAGTGATGCAGAAATCTGAAAAAAGAAACAGTGGCGGACATCCGTTCGCGTTTAGCTGATGTTTTGATGAGGCTACTAAAAAAAAACCAAAACGATACTAAAACAAAATAAAAATAAGTAAAAAAAAAAGAAAACAATGATAATATAATGAAATAAGAAGGAGTATTTAGATAGTAACACAAATTTTGATGACAATAGAAACCTTGAATAATATAGAACAGTTATCTTAGCTCCTGTGTAAGTCCTACCCGTTTCAATATTTAGCTCTCCGAAGCCTAATTGTCATGGCTTGGTTGAAATAGCAACTTGGAATTTCAGGTGCCTTTTCCGTTTGAACTTAACTTTGAGATTAAGCTAAAAAAATTAGAGTGGTCAATGTCCAGCGTTTTTTCTTTCTTAATACAGTTCAAGTGGCAAACACGTTATCTTCCAACTTGAGATTCGTCTTTTTCCAGAAAAAATTCGAATCCCTTCATGAATGAATGTAAACAACTTTGATTTTTCTCAGAAACGTTAAAGTTGTGTAATGTGCAAAGTGCTAACTGGGATTTTCATTGAAAAAGAAAATCTTAGTCGCAAGCGTGGTTTGTGGTGGAGTTCGGATTTTTGTCTCAAAAATTCGTGTCATCCTAGTTCGGTAACCCCTGCCCACGTACAACTGGTTCTTCCATCAGCAGAAAAACCCAACTTGTGCAGGAAGGCAGTTTTCGGATTTAATCCCGTTAAATCTGAGTTGGGTTTTTGTTTCTAATTATGTAACTGATTTTTTTTTTTGCAACATTTTTGTGATGTTCCAAAACAGAGCTATACCTTTTCAGAACATATGCAGATTTTAGTGATCTAAATTTCCCAGCCTCAATGGCTCTGTTTTAGAGCTCTGTTCGTCTACACCAATAGGAAAGTCTCTACAAAAGGATTTCCATGAGGGAATTCTTTTTTAACCAAGAGACGCTCGTTAAGTTGTCATAATGCTATTGTTCTTATTTACAACAAATCAGATGAAGAGAGTGTCAATATCCATGTCCTAGCATCAGTGACCGCTTGTGCAGCTATTGGAATACTTATTGGCGCCATTATTGCATATAAAAGGTACGTTTCTCTGCAGCATATTGGAAAGATGGGAGTGTGTTTTGGGGACTCCTCAAGCATAGTTCTTGGCAAATTTGCCGGGTGTTCAGTCCTTTGAATTCGATTACTACTCTGGGAGGCGTTGATTTCATTGATATAATTGTTATCAATACTATTATTAATATTATCATTACTATCATTATTATCATTAATATTATTATCTTTAATATTATCATCTTTTACATAGCATATGTTCCTTCAATCAGCAGAGTAAATACCAAGCGATGCAATCCTCAATTGTCCAATAGGGTTTCAATTGAAGACCATATCTATTGCTTGAGTACTAAGTTCCGTCATTCTTGCAGATTACGAAAACCTGGTCCAGCAAATAAACCAAACCGTTTTAAGATGAACAAGGTCGGTGACAGTAGCACGAACATTCGTTTAAAGCAAAGAAAATACGCTCGTGAAGACGTGAATAATACCGAAGAGAGGCATCAGATTTACAACAGAGCAACAGAGGAATCCCCCAACACGACTGCAGATCCAGATATAACTTACCTTACTGGTCACCAGCTCCAGCCACAGCATACAGCCAGTGAGCTCTACAGTCCTCAATGCAATAAGCTTCATTCGACCCCTGACTGCTAGAATACAGTTATATACACAGTCCCTTTTATATACACCATAGAGAACAAGTAACATGCTATTCAAGGCGCTTGTAGAGGGCTACATCTCTCCCTTTTTTCTACTAGTAGCACTCTGTAAGGTAGAGGAGAGCAAAGTTGGTTAGTTTGTAAAGATTACTCGCTGATGTACAAAGGAGTAGAGAATGTACAAAGGAGGAGAGAATGGTAAAATAAAGGAAATTCCTGCTCACTTCCGGATTGATGAACTTAACGATTGTGTATCGGTTATTTCATTCGAGTTTTCGTTGGCTAGTTCTTTCGCTATCCAGGAAATTTCTGTTCACTAAAAAATTAGAAAAGGCAAAAAGTAAAATCGCGATAAGAAAAATGCAGTGTCGAGCGGTGAGTCATCGGCCTTCTGCGAAAAGCAGACACGATACTTTATAGAAAAGTCCCTTCAATGAGCTGTTCGTGTACTCTTAAAGAGCGGAATCTTTCATAACTTCGCATGGTTAATTTGATTCGCAACCAAAGCACTACAAGTGTCTTTTTCTGTTATGCCGAGTTTTAGTGCGGCATTTTGTCTGTATCTGTGACATTCGTTACTGTTGTTTTGCATCGCTTTTGAGAGCATTTTTTGATAGTTTGGCAGATTGATTTTATGTGAGAATTTTAAACAAACAATCTTGTTATGCAAGATGGTATGTATTCCCCATAGCTATCAACTGTTCTTCATAAACCTTCTTCGTTTGATTCTCGCTAAAATGAGTAACTGAAAATAAATGTGCCATAATAAGTTTTCACCGCCGTGGTTGAACGCTGCCTGAGGCAAAGGTTGAATTTTTGATCCAAAGCTGTTATAACCCATTCGGTATGCTAAAATAACCAGAGGGCATGTTTTTCGTAAAGAAGGGAAATTCCCTAGTCTAGTTGGGAGTTGAAATTAAGTAACACGTTCGCTATTTTAAAGAAGATGCTATCAAGGTATTGCAGATGCTTTCACTTCTATTCCGAGTTTTTGACCAGGCTGGTCTCTGTGTTCACCTTTTTTAGCCAAGATTACGAAGCAGTTTGCCAAGTACGATGTGTTACAGGGATCACTATATTTTCGAGATCACTCTAACACATAACTGACCAGTTTCAGAAGACCTCTGGGAGATAAACCTGGATTATTGTTGTTAATTCGTGCATCATTTCTCTCCAAGTAAAGTTAACGAATGGGCTTTTGTTATAGTGGATCCTACGACCAAATCATGTTTCTGTCTGACTGAGAGCATGTCCTTGGGGCCTTGGAGCCATCCGGTTTTCTTTCAGGAACGCTGCAAAGTGCCTCCTAATTGAAAATCTTCGATAAATGTATCACAATTTCTACACTGTACCTCTGCAGATCGTCTCGTTAATATTTGTACTCCACGATCCACTCTCAAAGCAGGACGCACTTCTTACTCCTTCCGGGCGATAACCAGCCGTATCGTTACATATAAACAAGCACAGCGTTTCATAGTAAGCATCATAAACTAACGTACAAGAAATGAAAACAACTGGTCCCTGAGACGGTGTCGCAAAAAAAAAGTTGTTGTATTCTGGGTTATTTATTGAATACTGATTAATGCTACAGATTGGTATAGGATATGTAAAATATTCCAGACGGGTAAATGGTTTAATTCTAACCGTCAGTTTTGATTCAGGATGCTAGCGCTGAGGATCCCGCTTCCTCGCAATACTGTTAAACATTGAAGTGTTCCCTATTAAAATGGAGTTCAGATTCAGGCGATTCTCAAGACATTTTTAATCACTGAACCAGCCTTATTCATTCAAACTGGATTTCAAGTTCTTTTCTAAAAATACGAAAACGAAACCCAATATTAAACTTAATGATATTATACAACCTGCCTCATAAAAGCAGTCTTACACTGTACATAACAATCGCTGGCACACACTGGTTTAGCTGTTGTCATACTATAAAAACTGCGAATAAAAAACAGATTAATCCCTCGATGCCTCTAATTCCTGAATCAATAGCTCGCACTAATAAATCCAACTCTTTTCTTCTTGTCGCTGTTGGTGGGAGGCACTTGAAATTGATCTATCAGCGCCGAGTTTTGGGGTCATTGATATCACTTCAGATATTCATAATATATATATATACAGTTATGGGCTTCTGCGGTTTTATTGAAGTGGGTCTTATTTTGATGGCAGAATATGCCCTTCTAAGTCATCTGGTTTTAATTTTTCCTCCTGTAGACTGCTTTTTCTTGCATTCCCTAACCAGCCAACCAACGGTGATGTAACACGAGATGATTTTAATGCCAATGTTTTTTATATTTTATTATCAATGTTACACGATACATGTACATGCGACCTTGTTTTGCATGTTTTGTAATCTAAATATACATATACATATATAAATATATATCAAAAAAAGTTCTCGCAGAGTCCAAAGTTCTGAAAACATTCGTTGCCGATATCATATTATACGGCATTCTATTTTCCGCGTCGCGAAGTTGCGGTTGTCGTAGCAAGTTGCCCCACGCAAGACCACATTAAGAAAGAAAAGGCTTTCGCTTCTTGAGGTATGCACGAAAAATCGATAAGTAACCCTTAATAGATTTCATAGGAGGCAGTGTTTTAAGTTTTATGAAGTTTATGAACAGGATGTCGCGGCTTAATTAGACTGGAATGCACTCAATTGGCTAAAAGTACAAAATTCAAAGAAAAATTTCTGCTGTCAATTTGCCTTGAAAAAAGAAGAACGGTCTTTACTGATACTTGTTTCCCTTTTTTTGTCTTTAATGTAGCAGGTTTTTTTACCGCGCAGTATCATGGGCTACGCAGACAGAAAATTTGCCGTGTTTAATGTACTGTTATTCGTGTTTGTTGCCCATCAGAAGTACGTCGATGCATGTGGAGGTGGCAGACGCAGTAAGTTTTCTTTAAAAAAAACACTTCATATTTCAAGAAGTTATTTGATTGTAGTTGGTGGACCGGTGGATGGTTCTCATCTCTGTAATAGGAGGTACAGTTTTTGCGGTTTTCATGGTATGCTTCACGACGCGGAAAATTTGTTTTTTGCAGAACAGGAGTAGCACCTTGCCTAAGAAACAAGTGCAATATCCAATGTGCTCAACTCAGCCAACTAATTTACTAATTCTTCGCAGATTCAGTATACAATCGGCATTTGGCGTCAGACAATACGATGCAATTTCTTCACCACATAGCTAACTGCGTTGAATTTTGTAGCGGAGGCATTAAGTTGAAGTACAACTATTGCGGTAAAAAAATAAAACAGGTCGACAGTAGTTTCGTGTGGTCTACACTCTTACTCTTATCGGCTGCGGCTCGTAAGTCCACAAAACTTTGATCACTGTGATAAAGAATAACGTTGTCGATAAGAATATGGACCACGCTAAGCCACTGTCAATTTGTTAAATATTTGATCATCGCAAATGCAACCTTTTCAATCAGATTTTTCATCGAATGATTTAAAGAACCCACAGAGTGAGCAATTCGGGTTAGGAAACAGTATAACAATTTCAACGCGCTATATCTAATTTTACAGATCCATTGATCACGCCATAATATATTCCATCACAAATGGCTCTTACCTTTACTACTCACAGGACATCTATCAATGATTTTTTATTTGATTATTAACTACCAATCAATTTTTTTTCTGTGTTCTATTTTTCGATTGTTTTTTATTCTTTTTAAAGGACCAAGGGACGGTAACTGGGGACCGTGGGGGCCCTGGAGTTCGTGTATAACTGGATCCAAGACCAGGTTTCGCTATTGTAACAAGCCATCTCCAGCTCATGGGGGCAGAATATGCCCGGGAAGCAACTGGCAAATCAAGTCTTGCCCTTATAATCCCTGTAGTTCAGCAAGGTGCCAACACATTTGTATTCCATTTGGGGTTGTAGCCAGCTGCAGGTGTCGGACTGGCTATGTGACTTCACCACATGATTCAAGAAAATGTGTTCGTGAGTAGAATATCCGAATATAAGTTGTGTTGTTTGGTGAAATTTTGAGACCCTAAATGTATGTAAGGAGTTCAAAATTATCTAATTGAGATGTGGCTCGATCGTTTGCGTTTGTTTATTCTCTTATTTCCCCGGCGCGATTACTTTTTGTTCGAATAAAAGACCATTACTTTTGTGGTGTCTGAAGGATTTTTACTTACTTTACCGCAAGCTATATCTCTAAATACCTACAGACTGAGAGCTGAACCGAAGATAATGTATGGACAGTCTGATATATCGGCCAATCGAAAATAAAATCGAGAGATGAAAAATGAGATAAACCTATACAATATTTTCAATTTAGACCGGTCCGCTGTAAACTTCATTTTCTTTTAATAGCTTGAATCGCTTTCACAGCTTAACTAATTAGGTGCGAGAACCTTTATTTTTTTTTACTTTTTAACTGAAATGGCACTTTTCCTGATATTTATTGAAGCTATCAAATGATGTACCACTTTCGAAAATGTTTCAATATTTCAAAGTTCTTTGTCATTATGTTCTAGAAATGTTATCATTCCTATCTCTACGAAAAATATAGGGCTATTTACACACCGTAGAATAAAGAACTGTACGATAGATTTTGAGTTGGTTGTCGAAAGATAGCACTGATCTGATGAAAAAAAGTTCTTCCATTTTCTTACTTAACCAAAACTGAAACCAGCCACAACTTGATCACTGGAATTTTCTCAAGCCTCGGACATTTTGCCTACATCTATCACTCCTTTGCAATTTATCTATCTTTTTCTTTCCTTTTCCAATGTTTTTCCTTTTTAGAGGTTATTATGAGTACTTTGGTTTTAATTTTACGACAGTCAATCGAAATTTTTCCAATGTTAAATGGTATTTCAATATCTAGAAAAAGCGTTTGAGCATATGCATAGCAGTTAAATGCTTTTCTTTCTAAATGTTTCTTCATTTTAGGGCACAGCTGTCAGCCTTTGACGGCTCCACCAAACGGTGAGATCTCGCCTACTCGATGCTTATTTTCACCTACCCATGGTGACAGCTGTTTCTACAGATGTAAAGCAGGATACAGGGGTGTTGGAATAAGCGTGAAGATGTGTATTCAAGGAAATTGGAATTCTTTGGCTTCTTTTCACTGCCAGGGTAGGAATATGGATCATTGCATTTCACAGAGGATATTCTACTTTCAGAAAGGCAATCAGCCATTTAGCTAAGAGCTTTGTATAGCGGCGTTTTCTAGGCTAGTCAATCACCGAAGAGGTTTTAATAGTATGGAAGAAATAGGATGCTAAACCAACTATTCCAATTGCTCATGAGGGGCGGAAAATCTGGGATAAGTAAATCAGGTTGCATGAAAAATGAATCCTTTATGGCTTTATAGAAATAAGAAAAATACGACAAAAGAATAAACCAAATCAAACCAAAAAGATATGAAATAGACAAAGACATAAAACAGAGAAAGAAAGAGATGAAGCAGAAAACAAAGCCGAGCAAGGCAAAAACAAAACTAGAAATGACATAAAAGCAAGAAAAAAAAAACATGGAAATGCTAAGGGACATAAATGCCAAGTAATTTAATGACACATCTATCTCTACTAACTTTTCACTGACAATAAATACTGCTTCAGTTTATGCGATTATTTCTAAATGGCACCTTTGTCTGAGTGATAATCAGATTTTTTGTAAATATAAGTTGAACTCTATTCTGAATTGCACCAATCTGATGCTATCTTGATGGATAAATAGTGGCATAGTGACGAAAAAATTGCTCTCCAGGCAATTGAATGAATGAAAATCTCAAAACATGTATATTTATTATTACTTATTTGTTATTATTTTCATCATTATTGTTCATACCCTAGATGTATCTAATATGCAAAGCTCGAGTGTTGGCTATGAAATGATTTTCTTTCCTTTAGTAAAAGAATGCTCACCCTTGAATAAGCCAGATAGGGGAGATGTACCCCCTCAGGAGTGCAAGGTAAAACCCTTACATGGCCAGAAGTGTTTTTACAAATGCGACCTAGGCTACCAGGCCGTAGGACGACATGAGGTCACATGTGACGACGGACGGTGGACTGGATCCATCGTGCACTGCAAAGGTGCTTAAAAAGTACATTGTTGTTGGGAATTTTTTGCTACGGCTTCAGACGCCTCATTCTATCGATATTATCTCGTGTATTGGCGTAGTTGATAATGTTAACTGGCCACCGTAAAGAATTTCTAAAGCCGAAATCTCGAACGTCAGCTTTTCGTTAGAGCAAATGACGTAACTTCAGTTTTTTCAAACTCTTTCTGGTGGCTAATTTAGATTTATTTATCAACTCAGGTGATAAGACCAAATTATATTCTTATACCCCTATTGATGCAGCACCACAGTCTCTTGAGAAACTTAACAATTTCACTCGCGTTATCAATAGCTTGTTTGTGGTTATTTTCCCTTACGTTGCATTGTATTCATGATTATTGACCGAATTATTCAATTTTTCTTTTAAGACAAAAAAAGAAAATCAATGGCCTAAATACATGTATGTGGGAAAGTCACATTTACCAGTTCCTGGACTATCGTTAGCTATTTGAAACATGTTTAGACACACATTTGTAAGGCTGTAAATATTTTGGCTCTTTGTAGCAACATTAACATGCATTGGACCTGTTTATTAAGGAGAAACCCACCTCAGGTTTTGCTGAGATTAGTGTAGTACACAGCGGTTAAAATAAAATCGGTTTTATTCACGCACCTAAGAGAACTAACTAAATAATTAAACGCATGCTGTATGTATGCAGGTCTCGAGGGTATTACATCACACATCACGCATCACATTACAACGCGCATATTACATGCTCGTTGGCTTCCTATACAAGAAGTGAAAACCTTTATTAATTTATAAGGCTCAGGGTAGCCCCTTCAGACGCAAAAAGCTGTCTGTTATCAATGGGAGCCATGAGCAACAACATTAAAACATTACACTAAAACAGGTAATAATATAAATAAAGAACTATTTACAAGTAAAAGATTAAAAGATGTGTATATGAGAACGATCCTTCGCAGTAAAGCACTATTTGAGCAATAGTGAAAATCAGGCCTGAAAAAAATTTCAGGCCTGTACGGGATTCGAACCACTGACCTCTGCGATACTAGTGCAGCGCTCTACCAATTGAGCTAACAAGCCAACTGGGAGCAGGCCATCAAATTAATTCGATATAAACCCGTAGATGATAAATCAAACAACAACAAACATATGAAACATATGTGTGAACTGCGGTTATGAGACGTATATGAGAACGATCCTTCGCAGTAAAGCACTATTTGAGCAATAGTGAAAATCAGACCTGAAAAAAATTTCAGGCCTGTACGGGATTCGAACCACTGACCTCTGCGATACTAGTGCAGCGCTCTACCAATTGAGCTAACAAGCCAACTGGGAGCAGGCCATCAAATTAATTCGATATAAACCCGTAGATGATAAATCAAACAACAACAAACATATTTCTGTATTTCACAAACGAAACAATGTGCCGCGCCACTTTTGTCAACCCTTTTGAGCGATCACCACGCCCCACCCGAGTGTGAATCACCGCCTGGCTATCCGCTTACATGTCCAATCGACAATTTCGAATATCTGATGACAAGGACTCAAGACTTTTGCAAATGCCCATATTTCCTCTACGTTGATGCTCTCTTTTGCCAAATCCCACTCTCAAATATTGCTAATCATTAAATCGTTAGCATGACAATTAATGTCAACAGGCCAGTGTCACAAAAATGACTCTGTCGAAACTGACAGGGCTTTTTTTTTTCGTTCCTCCAAGGGATCTTAGTATTCCAGTCAACCCAAAATTGCCAAACTGCATTTCCTCGCGAGGCCTTGCAGTTGGTGTGACTTCTCCTTTCAAAGAAGCCCTTTCAATTTGCATGCGCCATTTCTCGAATGCATAAACTTTGCACTTGGAAAGTCTAGTGGGAAGGAAATACACTCTCTCATAAACGTCTCTAAAGATCTCAAAAGGATTGAGGATTTGTGTCAATTTGTGATCCAGCAGGCTCACTTAAAGGCGAGCGAATTTCTGTCTGTTTTAACAAACAGACTATTAAAAGAAAGCCAGTCATCAATTTTAGACAGTTCAGCATTCAGCTTGTCTTGAATGATAGAGGCTTGAGAGGATGAACAGTATAGAACAGTGTCATCGGCGTACATCAGAATATTGCAATCGGACACTACTTCCTGTAAATCATTAATGTGTAGAATAAACAATAGTGGCCCGAGAATAGAACCCTGAGGCACTCCAGTAGAGACGGCTTCTGAAGTAGAAGTCACCCCTTGAAACTCTACAACTTGGGTGCGGTTCGACAGGTAATCCGTAAACCAGCCATGCTCTTTATCCAAAATCCCCAAATTGGAAAGCTTGTCCAGAAGTACCGCATGATTCACAGTGTCAAAAGCTTTGCGAAGGTCAATAAACACAGCACCAGTTAATTGACCTTGATCCATGTTCCTTCGAATATTATCAGAAAAACTAAGAGCAGCGAATTCTGTCGAGTGATACTTCCGAAACCCGCACTGATAAGGGCTCAAAATCTTGTTTTGCTGGAGATATTTGAAGAGTTGGATATGTACAGCCCGTTCTAAAACCTACAATACAATTAGCTCTTTTGATCTTGAGACTGCGTAAAAATATTCCAACAGTTACACTCTTGCTGGGAAATATATTGTAATTTCATTTTTTTAAAACGTGCAGAGTTCAAGGGTCAAGCTATTTAGATGTTATTAAAACGTGGTTGTTTCCTTTGAGTTATTTAGCCTCTCCAAATAATGCAGTTAAGGTGAAATACATTAACTCTGTGTTCTGCAATCAATCATATACAGACAGATTAGCATATAATTTCTTGGATTTTTAATTGAAGCACTTAGAGCCTCTAATTTATTGTTAAGCTCTTAAATCATGATATAGTCTGATTTCTAGATATACTTTAGTCTCCATGGTTGAAGAATCCAAGCTTAGTATTTCATTTTTATTTTATTTTAGATATCCAAGCCCCTTCCTTTGGTCAAACCTGTCCAGCTAACATCAATGTTTTGGCCGATGTAGGACAAACGTCAGCCACAGTACGCTGGGGACCAGTCAGAGCTACAGATAACGATCAAGCCTCTGTCACAGTGACTCCGAATGTTGTATCTCCATATCTGTTTTCTGAAGGAGGTCATACTTTGACTTATACCGCAACAGATCCGTCAGGAAATACAAGATTTTGTCACTTCAGGGTTACTGTACTTGGTATATAACAATCCTGAATAATTTTGACAACATTATTTGTAACATACATTTTTTTTTTTAATCCTGTTGAACATTTTCAGTTCTCCTTTACCCTTCAAAAACAGGGGTAAAAACATTGTTAATTAAATCAAATTGACTCAAATCCTTTTGAATTCCAGTGCTTCGATGTGCTGTTCTCTTCCCCCCTGCCAATGGAAGGTTTGAGAATGAAGCATGTGGAAATGTACATGGAAGAGTTTGCCGCTTCAGTTGTAACAAGGGGTATGAACTGAGGGGATCAATTGAGAGGACATGTAAGAAGAAAGCAGATATTAATGCAGTATACTGGACAGGGAGCAGAACTTACTGCAAAGGTATTCCAGCCCTTCCTTTAAAACTAGTTAGCTATATATAAATTTGCCTACAGCCGGATATTAGTCCATTGATCAACATACTTTGTAAATCAAATACACACACACACACACACACACACACACACACCACACACACACACACACACACACACACACACACACAGATATATATATATATATATATATATAACTAACTGCAGACAGTACTGTTTCGGCCTTCTGGGCCTTATCAGTGCAGTGCTA